TTACTTTATTAACACACACAACATGTGTGCACCACTCTTCCTAACTCTCTTCCTTTCTCTCTCTCCCTCTCTCTCTCCCCCTCCTCTAGCAATCCAAAGTGTATCAATACTCTTGTCACCATTGTACTGAAGCTCACACCAAACTGGTCAAGTGTCAGGAGAAAGTTGAATCAGCTAAAAGCTCAGCCATTAGGAGGAAGAAAGCAGAAGAAAAAGAGAAAGAAGTAAGAAACATGCAACACATTTTGACATTATTAGTAATTCTTCTCACACGTACATGTACATGTATTTATACTCATTAATACTTACATGTTACTCTACACATCAATAGCGCCGGAGGCAGTATAACGAACAGAAAGGTCGTCTTCTTAAAGCTCGCAATGAGTATCTCCTCAGGCTTGCTGCCAGTAATGCCCGCTGCCTTCATTTCTACAGTGTGGACCTGATGAATATAATAGAGGTACTGGAGTCTATATGTACATGTACCTGTACTTTATATCATGTACATTATACATGTGACTCTTATTAAATGAATTCAGAGTGTTTGCAGCAATTGTTGTCTAACTTTAGAAATGATGTGATTATGTTGCTGGTCTAATTGCTATAATTGTGACAGTCAGTCTGGCAACATTAGCTCCAGCATGATCATTATAAATGGAGCTTTGAGTGAAGCATATTGTGTTAACACTGCATCAGAATTGGATTGAGAATGCATTAACAGTTGTACTACTACAGTGTTATCTTTGCGTTAACATAGGATTAAGAGCTAATGTACTAATAGTTGTATTGTTGATACAGTGTTGTCTTTGCGTTAACATGATCTCAATTTATTCTTTAGTTTATGGATCATGACTATCACGAGTCATTCAAGAGGTTAGCTCAAGCGTACGCTGATGCTGAGAGGACCAGCTGCAATCAGACCATAGGAGCAACCAATGGCCTCATCAACCAGACACAAACCCTCCATTTTGAAAACGACCTTCACTACTTCTTATCCGAGTTCTCGTCTGTCTTCACCCATCCTCCAGAGTTTAATTTTGTCCCTTTTGGTGATGATGACGTTATGGAGTACAAGGTTAACATGAAGGACGTCTTTCTCAAGGCTCAGGAGGTTGTCAAGAACATCACTGTTGAAATTAATAACCTTCAAGCTTCCATTGATGAGGTATTGGATTAATAACATCAATATTATTATTATTATTATCATGTGGGGCTGTTCTTTGTCAGAACAAATATGGACATTTTGTTTATTTTCATGTTAACAGTAAAAGCTGAATTATGAGGCTCTGCTTGTACAGTTGATGTGTGTTTGTATGAATCATGTACCTATAGAGAACAGGACCTTTACAAACTGCGACATTTTTGGAAAATTATCACCTTTTAAGATGTACATGTAAAACTAACAGATATGCATGTGCTTTTTTCATCACTTTTAAATATACATATTTAATATTACATCTACATGTACATGTGCATGTATCTAACAGGAAATACTCACTCTCTTTCCTTCAGGATACTAAGACAATAGAGCACATGTCTTCGAAGAACCTTCAGAAATATAAAGTTAAGTCAATAGACGATGCCCTGGGGGTTCTTGAGGAGGCTGGGGAGCCCATTCCGCCAGAGAATCCTTCAAAAACCTCATCACTGGACAGAGGGAACCTACCACAGAGTACAAGAGGTGTATTGGCTTTACACAACTCACAGAAAGGGAAGGAGGACACCTTCTCCTTCACACTAGGGGTCAGCCAGTCATATTATATACTTTTATGTGTACTGTTAACATTAATGTACCTCCAGTACTTTTAATATAATGAAACATGTGTACATGTAGATAAAGATGTTCCATTATGCTAGCCTAACCTAGTGTGTTATCTTGTTTTCAAAACGTGTTCAGGTATTCTCAAGGAAGTTGTTTAGAGCTGCCCAATTGAATGTATCGACTGCTAAACTAAGGATTGTGGATAAGAGTCTTAGCGAACAGAAAGTGTAAGGACATTAATTCTCTTTTATACTTTGATTTGAGTCCCTCCCTCTCTCTCTCCCCTCCAGGCCCCCTGTCAGTGTTGATGGTGATTATCGTGTTCCAAAGCTGTTTGGTGGTGACTGTCTGGAATACATCATGGTACATCTTAGTATAACATGTCTTCATTCTTTTATTTATACATGTATCTCTTTCTCTCTCTGTCTCTCTCTCTCTTTCTCTCTCTCTCTCTCTCTCTCTCT